AGGGAACTAGATCCCACATGCTGCAACTAAGAGGTCGCATGCCGCAATTAAAGACCCGGCACAGCCAAATAAATAAATAAATATATTTTTTTAAAGTGCTGTTGTAGAAGCTACAGTAAGTTATTCAGAAGCTCTAACTAAGGGAATTCCCTGGTGGTCCAGTGGTTAGGACTGTGCGCTTTCACTGCTGTGGGCCCGGGTTCGATCCCTGACTGAGGAACTAAGATCCCGCAAGCTGCGCAGCACAGCCAAAAAAAAAAAAAAAAATCAGAAGATCTACCTAAGATAATTAATGAAGGTGGCAACACTAAACAACAGACTTCCAATGTAGACAAAACTGCCTTCTATTAGAAGAAGCCATCCAGGACTTTCATAGCTAGAGAGGAGAAGTCAATGCCTGGCTTCAAAGCTTCAAAGGATAGGATGACTCTCTTGTTAGGGGCTAAAGCAGCTAGCTGGTAACTTTAAGTTGAAGCCAATGCTCACTTACCCTTCTGAACATCCTAGGGCCCTTAAGAATTAGGCTAGATCTATTCTGCCTGTGCTCTATAAATGGAAAAACAAAGCCTGGATGGCAGCACATTTGTTTACAACATAGTTTACCGAATATTTGAAGTCCATTGTTGATACCTACTTCTCAGAAAAAAAAGATACTTTTCAAAATATTACTGCTCATTGACAATGCACTTGCTCACCCAAGAGCTCTAATGGAGATGTACAACAAGATCAATGTTGTTTTCACGCCTGCTAACACAATATCCATTCTGCAGCCCATGGGTTAAGGAGTAATTTTGACTTTCAAGTCTTATTATCTAAGAAATATATTTCATAAGGCTATAGCTGCCATAGATAATGATTCCTCTGATGGAGCTGGGCAGAGTCAATTGAAAACCTTCTGGAAAGGATTCACCATTCCAGATGACATGAAGAACATTTGTGATTCATGGGAAGAGGTCAAAATGTCAACATTAACAGGAGTTTGGAAGAAGTTGATTCCGACCCTCATGGATGACTTTGAGGGATTCAAGACTTCAGTGGAAGTAACTGCAGATGTGGTGGAAACAGCAAGAGAACTATAATTAGAAGGGGAGCCTGAAGATGTGACTGAATTGCTGAAATCTCATGATAAAACTCATGGATGAGGAGTTGCTTCTTCTGGATGAGCCAAGAAAGTGGTTTCTTTTTTTTTTTTTTTTTTTGCGGTACGCGGGCCTCTCACCGCTGCGGCCTCTCCCACTGCAGAGCACAGGCTCCAGACGCGCAGGCTCAGCGGCCATGACTCACGGGCCCAGCCGCTCCGCGGACTAGGGGCACGAACCCATGTCCCCTGCATCGGCAGGCGGACTCTCAACCACTGCACCACCAGGGAAGCCCAAGAAAGATAAGATTAGATTTTATCTTGAGATAAAATCTACTCGTGGTGAAGATGTGTGAGGATTGTTGAAACAACAACAAATGATTCACAGTATCACATAACAGGGAATTCCCTGGCAGTCCAGGGGTTAGGACTATGAGCTCCCATTGCAGTGGGCCAGGGTTCAATCCCTAGCTGAGGAACTAAGATTCTGCAAGCTGTGTGGGGACAGATGGAAGGAAGGGAGGGAGGGAGGGAGGAGAAAGAAAGGGAAAGGAAAGGAAAGGAAAAAACAAAGACTTTTAAAAAATAGAATATTATATAACTTAGTTGATAAAGCAGTGACAGGCTGAGAGGATTGATTCCAATTTTGAAAGAAGTTCTACTCTGGGTAAAACGCTATCAAACAGCATTGCAGGCTACAGAGAAAACCTTCACGAAAGGAAGAGTCAATCAATGTGGCAAACGTCACTGCTGTCTTACTTTAAGCAACTGCCACAGCCACCCCAGCCTTCAGTAACCATCACCCTGATCAGTCAGCAGCCATCCACACTGAGGCAAGACCCTCCACCAGCAAAAGAAGTTACAACGCGCTGAAGTCTCACACGATGGCTAGCATTTCTTAGCAATAAAGTACTTTTAAATTAAGGCATGTACATTTTTAAAAGACATAATGCTATTGCACACTTAACTGACTATAACGTAAAAATAAAAAAGATTTCTTTTGGCCGCGCCGAGCAGCATGTGGAATCTTAGTTCCCCGACCAGGGATTGAACCCGTGCCCCCTGCAGTGGAAGCGTGGAGTCTTAACCGCCGGATAGCCAGGGAAGTCCCTAAACATAATTTTTATATGCACTGGGAAATAAAAAAATTTGTGACTCACTTTATTGCGATATTTGCTTTATTGCAGTGGTTTAGAACCAAACCTGCATATCTCTGAGATCTGCCTGTACTAAGCTCTTTGCATAAATGGAATTCTTTAATCTTTACGTCAACCTTATGAAATAGGTATCATTATCATCCCCAGTTTACTGGAGTTCAGAGGTTAAGAAACCTGTCCAAAGTTTACACAGCTATTAATAAGCACCTGGGTCAGAATTCAAACCCAGAACTGCCCAGCATCAAAAAAGATCCTCTTCAGCGCTGTACTATACTGCCTCCCTTCCAAGTACCAGGCGGTTCTGGGAATACAACCAGAGCTTACAGTCAGGTGGGGAATATAAATGATCAAATAAACAAGCACAGTACAGGATAGTACATGCTAGGACAGGGAAGTACAAAGTACTACAAAGCACATGACAGAAACACATAACCGGGGCTTGGGGTAGTCAGTCAGGAAGATTTTCCAGAGGAAAGAATAGAAGTTAGCCTGATTGGGATGGGGGTGGGGTGTCTTAGGCCTTGGTACCAGCATGAGGGAAGGCCTGGATGAAAGACTGCAGTGCCTTCAATAAATTTTTTAAAGTTCTGTATGGCTGGTACATAAAGTATGTGTGTGTGGGGGGTGATGGGGATATGAAGTTAGGCAGACCATTAAGAATCTTACCTTTAAGTATCTAAAGGAATTTGGCTTTGGGACTTCCCTGGTGGTCCACTGGATAAGACTCCGAGCTCCCAATGCAGGGAGCCCGCGTTCGATCCCTGGTCAGGGAACTAGATCCCACATGCATGCTGCAACTAAGAGTTCACATGCCACAACTAAGGGGCCCGCCTGCTGCAACTAAGACCCAGCGCAACCAAATAAATTAAAACATTAAAAAAATAATAAAATAAAGGAATTTGGATTTGGGGATTTTATGGTGAGGGTGATGGAGATCCAGTGAGGGGTTTAAAGATGACATGACTGTATTTATTACAAGTCAATCTGGCAGAGTGTTCTGACCCTCATCTCTTTTTATCTGGATTCCTCAACAGCTTCCTAACTGGCCTTCCAATCTCTGAACCTGCACTACACAATAGAGCAGCCACTAGTCACATGAGGCTACTGAAATTTACATGTAGATTAATTAAGATGTAATTAATTGGGCTTCCCTGGTGGCGCAGCGGTTGAGAGTCCGCCTGCCAATGCAGGGGATACGGGTTCGTGCCCGGACCCGTGAGCCATGGTAGCTGGGCCTGCGCGTCCGGAGCCTGTGCTCCACAATGGGAGAGGCCACAGCAGTGAGAGGCCCGCGTACCACAAAAAAAAAAAAAAAAAGATGTAATTAATTAAGATACATAAAATTTTAAATTCAGTTTCTCAATCTTGCCACATTTCAAGCGCTCAATAGCCACATGTGGCTACTGGCTGCCATACTGAATAGTGCTGATTAAGAACATTCCCATCATCCCAGAAATTTCTATTGGACGGCGCAGCTCTAGTCGCTCCAATCCATCCTCCGCATTGAAGCTGAACTCCCTTTCTAAGAGATAAATTTGTCTGGGTCACTCCCCTGCCTTAAAAGACCTTGATGGCTCTCCACCGCCCTCTCCAGAGAGTTCAAACTCTTCAGCAGTGTATACAGTGCCTTTCAAGGGTACCTTTTCCTAGCCTTCCAGCCTCTCTCCTCTGCAAGCCCCAGAACTGTGAACTTGGCTTCCTAAGCGATTTGCTTTTTCTTGCTCTCCTACCTTGGCAGGTGCGGTTCCCGCTGCAGGGAAGGAGTCCCCACGCACCTGCACTGAGCGAAACTGTGACTTTCAGGACTCAATCCAAGCGTTTTCCTTCCCTCCAGTCCCCTCCTTCCCAGAAGCTGGGTTGGATGCCACTCCTCCCCAAGCCCAGGCACGCTGCATCCCTCTACCATAGCACGTATCACTCTGAAATGCCGTGGTAAGTCTGCGCGTCTGCCCAGCTCCCGGAAAGCCAGTTCTTGGATGCTAAGGATATTTTTTTCTTTCTCCATCCCCAAGGCCCGGCTTGCAGCAGGCATGAATAAAACGTGAACGGATGGTTTGGGGGTCTGCCCCGACGTCAGGACCCGAGGTCCTGGGTAGGAATTTAAGACTAATAACTGGTTGAGGGAATCCTAGGCCAGATTCGATTTTAGAGGAGGATAGGGGGCCAAGAGCCAGGGGCTCACATACCCGAAGTTTTCTTCTCCACCATTTTCACAACACAGCCGCCAGCTGAGCCTACTGCGCACGCGTTCTAAATCACGCGCTGTGGTTGGGTCATCACGACTTCCTGTGGCGCGTGCCCCTACGCGTGCGCAGTGTAATCCACCGCTTTGACTACGTAATGTTTCCTTAGAGACCAGAAAGCTTTCCGCCATATTTTATACGGGCAAAACTACTTCCGACCTCGGTGTAGTTGTGTATTTTGCGGGACCCTCGAAATGGGTCATTTTAAAGAGATGTTGCCAGTGATCTTTCAAGAAACGTCATTTTCCTTGGGTCTGTCTGAAGATACAGTCATCACAAAGGCATCCCATGGAGCTTCTCCCCTGGGCAGTGAAGATGATGGGCCGGAGTACCAAAGAACTTGGCTTCAGTGGGCAATCCCAGAGGTCCCCGGTGACCCTCTGCCTAAACCTCAACCCCCAGATCCCTTGGGGCCGCAGACTCCTCGGCCTTCTCCCTCCCTGCCGTCAAACCCGCTCCGCGCGTCCCCACCGCCTCTTTCTGGGTCTTCCGCCCGGCTGCTCGAGGCAGGGTTGTGGCAAAGACCCGCCTCCGCATCCCGCCGGACCCGCAAGGGGTCACTTCCCCTCTCCGCGTTTCACTTTCCTGAAGTGTTAGGCGCTGTGGGCCGGGCTGGCTCTAAAAGACCTCGGCTCGGGATCGCCAGCCCTAGTCCCCGCCCCTACCCCGCCTCCGGGCTGGGCGCCTCCTCCCGCTCGTTCAGTTCTGCCCACCGCCCGGGACAATCCTCGCCTTGTCTAAGGCCCGGCATCTCGAGTTTTCTGTAACCTCCGGGTACGCTTTTTTTTCCCCCAGGGCGGAGCCCCAAGCCGGCTCCTCCTAGCTACGGGCCGCACAGCAGCCCCCATCCTTTTTCCCAGAGCCTCTCTCCGGAGTTCGGGTCCAGGCGCACAGCCAGAGCCCGGTGCGGGCCTGTGTGCCCCTCGGCCAGCTCCCCGTCATGGCCTCGGGCCCGGGACTCCGGCTCCTGCTGCTACTGCTGCTACTGCTGTCGCCGCCTCCTGAGGCCTCGGCTTCAAATCGTCCCCGGGGCAGCGACCCTGTCAACCCAGGTGAGAACCCGGGGAGGGGCGAGTGGCGCCAGGCTGACCCTGGGGAGAGGGTCGAGGCGGGCCTCTCCCACGCCCAGCGGGCTCTCTAGGGCCGAATCACACGGCCCCTCGCCCACTCCTCGCTCTGAACTGTTTCCACCCTCCCCATGGGAACTGATCCTGAGTTTCTGGATGTTACTCCCATCCCGCTTTCACTGGGGTCAAGTTTCCCTGGGTGGGAAGAGTTTAAGAGGGAATGTGGAAAAGAGGGGAGGAACCGGAGCAGAGTCAGAGGGAGGGGAAGGGGGGCTGCGGTGAGTGGAGCGCGCCGGGCAGCGAGCTGGGCGAGTGGGTCCTGAGTGTCAATTCCTGGCTGGTGACAGAGAAGCTGCTGGTGATCACCGTGGCCACAGGCGAGACAGAAGGATACCGGCGTTTCCTGCGGTCAGCGGAGTTTTTCAACTACACTGTGCGGGTGAGGAGAGGAACACCCTCATGGCCTCTAGAAGGGGTGCGGGTGGGGTGTAGCCTAGGAGAGGGCTGAGGGCTGGATGCCTGGGACCCCACGGTGAGCCTGGTGAGGGCGGTGGGACCGCCTGGCCGCCTGGCCGCCTGAGCCCCTCCCTGGCATTCTGGGTCTCCTCCACAGACCCTGGGCCTGGGACAGGAATGGCGAGGGGGCGATGTAGCCCGAACGGTTGGTGGAGGACAGAAGGTCAGGTGGCTGAAGAAGGAAATGGAGAAATACGCAGACAGGGGGGATATGGTCATCATGTTTGTGGACAGGTAAAGGGGCTGGGGCTGGGGAGAAAGAAGAGGGGTGGACAGAAAGAGGGGGTGAGGAGACTGAGGTTCCTAGTGGCTGTCCTGCTCATCCTCCCCTTCCTCCCCCAGCTACGATGTCATTCTGGCTGGCAGCCCCTCGGAGCTGCTGAAGAAGTTTGTCCAGAGTGGCAGCCGCCTGCTCTTCTCTGCAGAGGCCTTCTGCTGGCCCGAGTGGGGGCTGGCGGAGCAGTACCCTGAGGTGGGCACGGGGAAGCGCTTCCTCAACTCTGGTGGTGAGTGGCAGAGTGTCCAAAGTGGTGGGGCATGGAGTGTTCCAGGTGCCTGAGGGCTGGAGAGGGAGTGGGGACAGGTCCTGGGACCCTGGGAATCTTGGAGTCAGCACCTCCCCTCCCCCCACCCAGGATTCATTGGCTTCGCCCCCGCTATCCACCAAATCGTCCGCCAGTGGAAGTACAAAGATGACGATGACGATCAGCTGTTCTACACTCGGCTCTACCTGGACCCAGGACTGAGGGTAGGGAGGGGCAGAAGAGGGGGCCCGACTTGAAGCTCTGGAGGTGGCAGGCCTCTCAGGCTGAATGGGAGGGAAGGGGTAAAGAGGCTTCTTGAAAGACGTAAAGAGAAAAGAGTGGGAAATGGTGTCCCACCGCCTCTTTAATTACCTGCCCCATCTCATCCCATCCAGGAGAAACTCAGCCTTAATCTGGATCATAAATCGCAGATCTTTCAGAACCTCAACGGGGCTTTAGGTGAGGAAGAGGCAATCCGAAGGGGTGATGGGAGGCTGCTGGGGGTCCTGAATGTGGGAGAGGCTCCTGGTAGAACTGGGGTGATCTTCAACTCACCTCGATGTTAACTTCATCAAACGTCCGAATGGCTGATAGAGTTAGTTGCGCTGTGCTAATAGTAACAGAAGCAGCAGTGGTCGTACCTAATGTCTGTTTGACATACTACGTGGCAGGGCTCTGGGCCAGGGCTTTACTTCTGTAATTTCATTTAACACAACAATTCTACAAAGGGCAGGTCTGTGGTTATCCACTTGTTACAGATGGGGAAACTACCTCTTTGAGGGGCCAGTGACTTGCCCAGGTCACACAGGTAGTAAGTGGTGGGGTGCCCCAGGGTGACAGCAGCCTGGTCAGTGCCCTCAGAGAGAAGGTGTCCCATCCCCGCCCCACGGGTCACAGTCCTTCATCCTCTAGAGAAGCTGGGCAGCCCCCGCCCCCCCATATTTAGAAGCACATGCTGTTTGGCAGCTTTGGGGGAAAGGGAGTCTGAAGCCTGGCCTTTCTTCCCCAGATGAGGTGGTCTTAAAGTTTGGTCGGAATCGCGTGCGTATCCGGAACGTGGCCTATGACACACTTCCTGTTGTGGTCCACGGGAACGGCCCCACTAAGGTGCCCAGGTTGCTTATACCCTCAGCCCCAGCCCCAGTCAGTCCTGCCCGCACAGCCCCTGCCCCAGACCTCGCCCCAGCCCCCAGGTTCCTCCAGCCCTTCCAAGTAGTGAGTCCTCCCCAGCCCCAGAAGCACAGGTGCTGGGAGGGTTTCTCAGTGGCCACCGCTCCCCATCCTGCCCTGTCCCCTCCCTGTCTGCCCACCTCCCTCACCTCTGGCCCCGGACTCTTCAGCCTCAGCCTCTCACCGTCTCGCCCAACAGCTGCAGCTGAATTACCTGGGAAACTACGTCCCCAATGGCTGGACTCCTGAGGGAGGCTGTGGGTTCTGTGACCAGGACCGGAGGCCACTCCCGGGGGGGCAGGTGAGGAGGGGGTGCCAGCGTGGGTGGGAGAGCGCTTGGAAGCAGGAGGTGCAGGGAGGGCATTCCAGGCAGCAGTGGGTGGGGGCAAAGCCCCTGGAGACCCGCAAACCTGCCAGGGTTGTGGAGGACAGACTGGCGGGCTTTCCTCTGAGCCCCATCACGTTGTATCTTCCAGACTCCCCCCCGGGTGCTTCTGGCAGTGTTTGTGGAACAACCTACCCCATTCCTGCCCCGCTTCCTCCAGCGGCTGCTGCTCCTGGACTATCCATCCGACAGGGTCACCCTCTTCCTGCACAACAACGTGAGACACCCCAACTGACAGCCTCTCCCTCCCAAGGGACCCCGCCCCTGCCCTCATCAGAACTCCCACTCCCTATATCCCAGACTCCTTCCTGCACCCTTTCTGCTCACCTCCTTCCCCGCTCCTGTCCCTCAGGCACCATCTTTTCTGCCCTCTCAGTCTCCGCATCTCCCCCTTCTCCCCCCCCGCCATCTCCAGGAGGTGTACCACGAGCCCCACATTGCTGACTCCTGGCCCCAGCTGCAGGACCACTTCTCAGCTGTGAAGCTGGTGGGGCCCGAGGAGGGCCTGACGCCAGGCGAGGCCAGGGACATGGCCATGTGAGTGAGCCTCGGGCGGGCGTTGGGGGGGGCGGGGGTGAAAGCAGTGGGGGAGGGGCTGCCACCCGCTGCAAGCCCCCTTCCCTCTCCGTTCCCCATCCAGCCTCTCCTCGGCCTCCACAGTGGCGCACTTCCAGCCACTACGTGTGCTGTCCCTCCCTTGCCCCGCACAGATGGAAGAATCTGGGGGAGGAGGCACAGAGGCCTCGGCCTCCCCCTTTCCCGCCCTCCCCCTCCCCCCCCCCAGTCTTTTTCTCCCTCCTGTCCTCTTGCTGATGCTTCTACCCACTTTCCTCCTCTTCTCCTCAGCGGGTAGGGGGAGTTCCACCCTCTCTACAGTTCCCTCTCCCCCCCCACCTGCTCCCGTTTCAGCTCATCTGTCTGTTGGTCTGTCACCTCCAGGGACATTTGTCGGCAGGACCCCAAGTGTGAATTCTACTTCAGCCTGGACGCAGACGCGGTCATCAGCAACCCGCAGACCCTGCGCATCCTCATTGCAGAGAACAGGTCACTCACCTGGTTCAGCCAGAGGGCCCCCAGATAGTCCCCAGGGAACCCCCCACTCCTCCCCTGGGCGTGGGGCACAACTCCGCCCGGCCCTCACCTCTGCTCGTCCACAGGAAGGTGATAGCGCCCATGCTGTCCCGCCACGGGAAGCTGTGGTCCAATTTCTGGGGAGCCCTGAGCCCCGATGAGTACTACGCGCGCTCCGAGGATTACGTAGAGCTGGTGCAGCGGAAGCGAGTGTGAGTCCTGAAGCCCCTCCCCTGCCCTGGCCTGGGCCCTCGGAGACCCCTGCATCCTGCCGCACAGCCCCAGTCTCGGGGGTCCGGGGGGGCTGTGGGCAGGGACTGACCGTGCAGGGGGCATGAGACCCCTGCATCCTGCCGCACAGCCCCAGTCTCGGGGGTCCAGGGGGGCTGTGGGCAGGGACTGACCGTGCAGGGGGCATAAGACCCCTGCATCCTGCCGCACAGCCCCAGTCTCGGGGGTCCGGGGGGGCTGTGGGCAGGGACTGACCGTGCAGGGGGCATGAGAGGCTTGACGGGGGAAGCCAGCGGGACCTAGCAGCTCACAGCCCTCGAGGGAAGGGGCCCCTGGGAGGAACAGGGCAGGACTGTGGGGCTCGCCCACCTAGCTCACCGGTGTGGGTGCCTCCAGGGGCGTGTGGAACGTGCCCTACATATCCCAGGCCTATGTGATCCGCGGGGAGACCCTGAGGACGGAGCTGCCCCAGAGGGAGGTGTTCTCGGGCAGCGACACGGACCCAGACATGGCCTTCTGCAAGAGCCTGCGGGATAAGGTGAGTGGGCCTGGGGCTCGAGGCGGGGCAAGGCCCTTGCTCCCTGTCACCCTTCTCACACCCGCCCCCCACGCCAGGGCGTCTTTCTCCACCTCAGCAATCAGCACGAGTTTGGGCGCCTCCTGGCCACTTCCCGGTATGACACGGACCACCTGCACCCTGACCTCTGGCAGATCTTCGACAACCCCCTGGTGAGTAGGCGGCCCCGCGCTCAGAAGGTAGTTTCCCTTCCTTCACTAAAGGAGGATGCCCCAGGCCTACCGCACGCTCATGCGCGCTGTGCAGGCTCTCCTGGTGCCTGGGGAGGGGGCTTCCTGGGTGGGAGCAGATGGAATGAAGAGGGCCCGGGTCAAGGTGCACCTCCCCCCATCCCCCAGGACTGGAAGGAGCAGTACATTCACGAGAACTACAGCCGGGCCCTGGAAGGGGAGGGACTCGTGGAACAGGTGAGCCCCACTCAGGACCCTGACCCATCGCATGGCCACCACCCCCTGGGTCCACCCCCTGGGTCCACCGCCTGGATTAGTGGTGCCTCAGGGTTTTCTGCTCAGGCATTGAGGGCAAAGGCGGAGCAGACAGGCCTGCAGCCCCCATCCTGGCATTAATCAGGGTGGTCCTCTCTTGTCTGTTGGGTATATTGGTGTATGGGTGAAATGATACTTTTTAAGATGAGTTTGAAATCCACTATCCTAGAACCCGGGGCTCCAGGACCCCCGTGCCATTTGCGCCATGTTTTCAGCACTGCTCCCACCTTCTCTGGCCCAGCGCCTCCTGGCCCATCCCCACACTCAGATCCCCATTCCTGCAGATTCTCTCATCTCCTGGCTTCCCTTTCTGCTCCCTGCTTTCTCTCCCTTCCTTTGGCTACCTGTCCGCTCCCCGAGCATGACGCAGCCCTGCTGTTCTCGCCCTGTCCCGCCCGTCCACAGCCCTGCCCGGACGTGTACTGGTTCCCTCTGCTGTCTGAGCAAATGTGCGATGAGCTGGTGGAAGAAACGGAGCATTACGGCCAGTGGTCAGGAGGCCGGCATGAGGTGAGGGGCTGGGGCAGGGGGGAGGGGGGCCCCAGGAGGAGGGAGGTGAAACTTCCCTGATTGAGGGAAAATGGAATCCAGAGAGTGGGAGCAAAGAGGGGTCCCCAAGGGGGAGGGGCCCACAGGAGGCACAACTGTATTCATTCACTCATCCATTCGTTCAACTAACATTTACGGGGTGGATCCTAGACGCCAGCCCCTGACCTGGGTGGTGCAGGTCGAGCTCTGCCCTCCTGGGTCTCACCTGCTGTCAGCAGCAGCAGCAACCCAGCTTCTAAAGGCTGTGATGGGCAGCCCGGGTGCTGCAGGAGTCTCAGGAGGGACCCTTGACCCAGACGTGGGAGGACCAAGGGGCTTCACAGAAGAGGTGACATCTTAGCTGACACTTAGAGGACAGGAGGAGTGAGTCAAGCTAAGAAGTGGTCGAGACTTCCAGACGGAGGGAATACAGGCTGTAAGGCCTGGGAGCAAGAGGAGGGGGAGGCTGGCACTGCCCTGTCGGCTCAGTGCCCGCTGCCCACAGGACTCAAGGCTGGCTGGAGGCTACGAGAACGTGCCCACCGTGGACATCCACATGAAGCAGGTGGGCTATGAGGACCAGTGGCTGCAGCTGCTGAGGACGTACGTGGGGCCCATGACCGAGAGCCTGTTCCCCGGCTACCACACCAAGGTGGGCCGCTGCACTCGCCACCCCTGCACCTCCACCTTCCCACACCCCGTCCCGGTTGGACGTCTCCACATGATGCCTTTTTGGCCCCCGTGGTGTTTGGGGCCCCATAAAATGAGATCCTACAGGAGGGCAGCCCTGGGGGAGGCAGCCCGCAGGTACCAGTGAGAACCCCTCCCCTCCCCCGGACCTGATGGCCATCCCTCCAGCCTCTCCTCCCGTGTCCCTGTCACAGACCCGGGCGGTGATGAACTTTGTGGTCCGCTACCGGCCAGATGAGCAGCCATCTCTGCGGCCACATCACGACTCATCCACCTTCACCCTCAACGTCGCCCTCAACCACAAGGGCCTGGATTATGAGGTGAGTCCCTACTGCCCTCCACTTCAGGGCCCCTCCCCGCACGCAGGACCCTGTGTCCCGCCCCCTCACCATCCCTACACACACCCCTCGTCACCTCCCGCCCCCTTGTCTGCCTTCTCTATATTTCTCAGTGACTTCGTGGGTATCCTCTGGACCCCTTCCGGGCTGGCAGCCTCACCCTTTCTCCTGGGTCTCCCATCTGCTGATGCCCAAACCTCCTGTGTCCTCCCTCCCTGATTCCCCCGGTCGGGCTCTCCCCGCTCTGTCAGCCCGCCGCCCAGTCCCCACTTCCGCTCACTCTGCACTCCTGCCCCTTCTCGTCTTCCCAGGGAGGTGGCTGCCGCTTCCTGCGCTACGACTGCGTGGTGTCATCCCCCCGGAAGGGCTGGGGGCTCCTGCACCCTGGCCGCCTCACCCACTACCACGAGGGGCTGCCCACCACTCGGGGCACTCGCTACATCATGGTGTCCTTTGTGGACCCCTAACGCTCCACCACTCTGCCCAAGCTTCCCTGCCATTGTGCCTTCCTGTGCCCCACTCCTCCTCGGAGGGGGTCTGTCCGGCTCCTCGCCTCCTGGGTGTATGTTCCGTGTACCTGGGACTGAATGTGTCACCTCGCTCCCCACCACGCGGCCCTCAGGAAGCTCAGGGAGCCCCCTTGCTCCACCCCTCAGCCCCCAAGAGTTCCCAGGGAGAGGGCTTCTGGGTGTTCACCACGTGATAAATTATTGTTTTTCAGTCTTCCTCTCAATAAAAGAGGATTTGTAATTCTTGAGTCCATTTATTCTTTCATCTACCTGTGGACCCCGTATCCCTCCCGCCACCCAGTGTAGAGGGGAGACCCGGGATCTTCCAGAGGAAATGAACAGAGAAGAAGAAAAGGCAGAAACATGATTTTAGAGCAGAGCGGGAGCCTGGAAGCTTCCCTGGCTCCCATGTCTAACTCCCTGTCATTGCCAGAGCTGGGGGAGGACGTGAGGAGGGCCAGACCGAAAGAAGGACTTCCCTTGTTGGGCTGAGGTGAGAACCCCCCCATCCCCACCCCTGCAAAGCCCCCAAGCTCTCCTCCCTGATTCTCTCCTCACCTGATGGCATCTTCTCCAGTGCATGACGTGTGGGGTGGCACAGCCCTAAGCTAAGCTCCAGGGACATTGCTGGGGAAGTAAGTCCCCCTGGGGGCGTGTGTTCTTTGAGGGAAGACAGGCTGGAACCTTACTGTGGCTTCTTGCATCTAAGCTGTTAGGTGGAATCAGGAGAGGGGAATCCTAAGGGTCAGCCCAGGAAAGCTTCCTGGAAGAGGGGGGACGGGATGCAGCTTTGCAAAAGACAAGACTGGGACTTTTTTTTTTTACCGGAACTTCTAGTGGTCCAGTGGTTAGGACTCCTGGCTTGCACTGCAGGGACCATGGGTTCCATCCCTGGTGAGGGAACTAAGATCCCACAAGGCAAGGTGCAGCCAAAAAAACCCCAAAACAAGTGACGCTCCCTGACCTGGAAAAAGTGCTGGCTCTGCAGGCCTCTGGTCAATGTTAAACAGGGCCATGGTCACAGTGATGACTGGCCCCGGCCCACTGGAGGGTGTGCCCACAGACCAGTGGGCTCTCTCTTGGAGGGGTTCCCCAATCCTTAGCCTCTCCCATAAAACCCTTCCCTCTGGAGGTCTCCCCACAGAGGCCTAAGCTACTCCTTAGGGAATATATCCTCCTGCAGGTCACCTACCGTTTAGGCGCCAGGTCCGGGTGACAAATGGGGAGCTCTGCTCTTCAGGGTACACACACATGGCAACCCCTGCTGGCCCAGACCTCTCCCAACCCTGCTCCTCACAGGGAGCCGGTCCTGACTTCCACAAAGCTAAACACCTTCCTCACCCCCAGGCTCCAAGCCACAGCCCTGGTCTTTCCTTTCGGTCCTACTGGTCACAGCCCTGTGAGCCCCAGTAGTGGTTAACCCTTCCATGCCGGGGTTCACAGTGCTCCAATGTGCAGGTCAGCAGCGGGGGCGGAAGCGAGGGCAGAATCCAGGCCAGGGGTCAGGACCAGTGGGTTGGGTCAAAGAAGGTACGCTTCACGGCCGTGGTGGCTCCTGGGTGACTCCCCTCTGCATCCTCCTCCAGCCACCTCTTCCGGGGCCTCCAAGTGTTTGCCGTCCTGCAACGGGTCTTCCCCTTTTGGGGGGCTCACTGAGTCCCTGAAGACCTGAGGAACCCTGCGCCTGGCACTCTGCTTCCCCATTCCAGTACGGGAGGGAGGGAGGCAGGGCAGGGGTCTGTGGGGTGGAGAGAGGGAGAAAGACGTAGATTGGACAGATGCGCCTGAAACCATGGAACAGGGAAGGGGGAAAGCGGGGGACCTGGGATTCGAACCTCTGGATCCTGAGTCCCCACACCCCCCCACGTACCGCCACCACCTCCCGCCCAGGTGTGCCTGGGACTCGAACCTCTGGATCCTGAGTCCCCACAACCCCCCACGCACCGCCACCACCTCCCGCCCAGGTGTCCCTGGCTGCCTTGCTCCTGTATTCCTGGGCCGGGCCTGGATCCTAGCGGTCCTCGACCTGGTCTGACTCCATGGAGATAGAAACACACCTGGGGCAGGGGGCCGCTGCTCTGCCTGGGTCCACAACTGGGCCATCCGGAGACATATCCGTGACCACCTCCCCATCTCGGCAAGGCGCTCGGGAACGGTGCGCTGGCTGGGAGCAGGGCTTCAGAATGGACTCTCGGGACCTTCACCCCCGAAGTCCAATGTCAGCTCCCCAGTGGGGTGTCCCCCAGCTGGTTAAAACCGCAGATCCAGATCCCTCCTGGAACTACCTCTTTGGCTTCCACCCTCACGGGGTCCTGGTCAGCGGGGCCTGCAGCAACTTCTGCACAGAGGCCACTGGCTTCTCCCACCTCTTCCCTCACCTCCAGCCCCACCTGCTCACGCTGCCCTGTTGGTTCCAGCTCCCTGTCTTCCGGGACTACATCATGTGTGCTGGTGAGGAGAGCGCTGCGTCTCAGGAGCCCCAGTGCCTGCTGTCACCTCCTAACTGCCCTCCTCCTCCCGCATGCGGGCACTTGGTCCCACCTCTACTTACCTTCCCAGAGCCCTGCGCCCTCTTTTCTGGAAGAATCAGGCGTCAGGTCCCCCAGCCTCCGCCCTCTCTCGCAGGATCAGTGCCCTCGGACAAGGCCAGCGCCTCCTATCTCTTGTCCCTGCCCGGGGGCCTCCTGGCCGTGGGAGGGCCCCTGGAGGCGTGGGAGGCAAAGCCCGGAGCGCTGAGCTTGCGAATCCGGAATCAGAAGAGATTTGTCAAGTTGGCGCTGGAAGAGGACAGCGCTGCCCGGGAGGGAGCGCAGCGCGCGCCGGGCGGGGTCCGGAGTCAGTTGCTCCCCCAGGGCCTCCCTGGTGCCAGCCTTCTCTTTCGGAGAGAACTAGCTCATCCAGCAGTTTCCGAACCCGCCGGGCTCATGGGTGCGAAGGACACAGGAAGCGCTGCAGCCACTGCTGAGAATGGCCCTGCCGCTGTTCCACGGCCCCCGGGGCCTCCTCCTGCCCTTCCGCACGCCCATCCACACCGTCGGCGAGCCCCGGCCTCTACCCGCTCCGCTATCCGGCCCGCCCACCTGCTTCTCCCGGGCTGAAGGCCCCTGCACCCTTCCCGCGCCGGAGGTGAAGGTCCCCCCTGTTGGGGCGTGAAATCCTGGATTCCGGCCACGCCTCCAGGCTGCCTTTGGCAACCGCGCCAGCCCTGAACTCTGTCCCAGTTAATCGCGGCGAGCGAGAAGGTGACCTGCGGGCGGCTGCTAGCGACCATCCCTCTGGCCTCCTGTTCCGCCCACAGTGGGGGCCCCAATCCCGGCGCAGCGAAACCCGCGGCCCAGCCGGGCGCAGGTGGACGCGCAGCACGAGGTCTACTTGGAGCGGCTCAAGCAGCTGTTGAAAGAGCACATGGCGCGCTCTGGCGTCCCCGCCGACAGGCACCTCCCCCCACCTAGACGCGCCGCCGGCCCCCACCGGTGCCCTCGGTGACTGCGGGTGAGGACTGAAATTAAAGGCGGGTACAGACCTGCGGTGTGTGTGTGTGTGTGTTTGTACTTGGCGGGGCAAGTTCGCGCGCCTGGCCGGGCCTCGGAGGGGACCAGACACTCCCGGAGACCCGCAAACACACCCGGGGCGCGCGTCCAGGATCTGCCGGCCACACTTGAGATCAAAGAGTCTCGGCTGGGACCCAGTCGGTGGGCTCTCCGGCTTCTTCTGCGACCGCTCCCCACAACGATTCCTAATGCACGCGGGGGTGGACCTCCAGCGCACGGCCCCTACCCCGGCTCCCAGCCCCGCCCAGCGGCCAGCCCAGACCTACCGTATGGAGTTCAAAGATCAGTGTGTGAAGACCTGTGGCGCTCCGGATCCCAAGGTCTCCCCATCCACACAGCCCTCTACAAGCAACTCCGGGAGGCCCCAGGGGCGTGGCCACTCGGACGAGAAAGGCTTCCCCGGCTCGTACCGAAATCTTCATCGTTTGTCCTCCGGGTCCTGGAGCCCTGCTGGCAGAAGGGGAGCGAATGGGAGTCTCCACAGCCCCGCCGCCCTCCCGCAGTATGAAAACCCTGAAGAAGCGGCGGCTAGAAGTACTGAGCTCCTGCTATACTGAGCGCCTGCTATACTGAGCGCCTGCTATACTGCGCGCCTACTATACTGAGCGCCTACTGCTACGTGCGCACTTGCCTCTTCACGGGTGAGTGGTGCCCGGGGTCCACTGGGGAAGGAGGCAAGTGGGAGGGTGGGGGGAGAAAGGCTGGAGCCCCACCTGCCAGGATGTCCGAGGGTCAAGGGAAGGGGCAGGGGCCAGAGGTCCAGCTGGGAGATGGCCAGTGATCTCATTGGTGAGGGTGGAGGGGAGGAGCCACTGGAGTTTCAAAAGCTATAGTTCATTTTTCTTTCCCACGTTTCCCCCAGGCTCCTTCTGTTCCCTTCTTCTCTTCCTCCTCTTCACGTCGCTCTGGTATTTCTCTGTTCTCTGCTTGGTGTGGTTCTTCCTGGACCGGGACACACACCCCGCCCCCCAGGTGAGCACTAAACAAGGACCCAAGTAGTGAGAGGTGATAAATGGTGACTCCAGGAACTCTCCCACCCTCATCTGTCTGCCCAAGGAGGAAGGCGTTCTGAGTGGATGAGGAACTGGACTGTTTGGAAGCACCTAAGGGATTATTTTCCCATTAAGGCAACAGGCCACCCTCCAAGGAGATGCTCTGGTTCCTCCCTTTCCCCTATGTACCCCCCCTACTCACCCCTCCCTATGCTGGAGTCTGAGCCCCCCAGCTGCCTAAGTTCAGGCAATGGGGGAGGGGTGGGATGGTGTACCAGAGGGGGCCCCTTGTGCCCTTGACCCCATCGTAGGACCTTGAACTCTAACCCTAAGTTAAGTCTGTTGGTGTGGAGGGAATTCTGTTCAGCAGGTAGCCTGCTGTCTATGCTTTCTTCCCCTCCTCCTGCCCACTGCCCCCAAAACTGGTGAAAACGGTAGAGCTGCCCCCTGACCGGAACTACCTGCTGGTCGCTCACCCACATGGGATCATGGCCATGGGAATCCTCTGTAACTTCTCCACTGAGAGCTCCAGCTTCTCCCAGCAGTTCCCCAGGCTTCGGCCCTTGACGGCCATGCTGAATGGCCTCCTCCATTTCCCAGTCTACCGAGGCTACCTTCTATCCTTTGCTGAGTCTTGAGCTAAGGGGAGGAGGCAGCCACCCCCCCACAGTGACCCCCACCCACCATTCCGCCCAGGGACCTGGCTTGAACGTTGGCCAGGCTCACAGTGGGCGTCGGTGAATGGCTTTGGAGCAAGCGTCCTGCATCCTTGCTGGGAGAGGTGCTGCAGGGCACACTGACATGGGCACAGGGGTAGGGGAGCTTGGAAGGAAAGGGATGGGGGGCTCACCCTTCCTAGGCTAAGGGGTGGGGTAAGGGGCTAGGGAGCCAAGGACGGGGTGGTGACTGTTCCCACACCTCCTCGTACCTGCGGGACGATGTTCCGTGGACCAGCAGAGCCTGGATTTTATTCTGTCTCAGCCTCACGTCGGGCAGGCTGTGGTCGTCCTGGTTAGGGGGCCCACGAGTCCCTGTATGCCGTCCCAGGGGAGCACTGCCTCACTGTCCAGAATCGGAAAGGCTTTGTCCACCTGGCACTGAGGCACGGGTGAGTGGGTGCCCAGGGGTGCTGCCCTGAATGCTCAGAAGCCACAGTGCGTCTGGGGATCCGCACTGTCTGTCCCTACACACCCGCACCCCTGTAGGTGGGCCTGTGTGTCCCCAGAGCTTACACTGTGACCACACCTAGGGGGCGCTCTTGCCCCTTGAGCGTTTCCTCTGTGCCAAGCACCGGTGCCAGTTCCCCAGGCTTCCTCCCAGGCGGAGAGAGACAGGATCACAGTGCAAGTCACAGGACCCCGGGGCTCAGACGCCCTTGGTTCAAATTCTTTTATGACACCCTCTCAAAGGCAAATGCTTGCACGCTTCCTTACTTGTGAAATAGGGTTAATACCTACCTGGCCACCATGTCGCACAGTCTTTCCTCAAGAAATGTAAATCCCTCTTTCAGATCTCTTGTAGCCACTGTCATTTGCTTCAAATGGCCTTGGGAAGTGGAATCATGCGAGGGAGGAATTTGGGGCACGCCTTGAGACACTGATCTGACCACCCGTCTTCTCTCTTGCCGCCCCTTCCCAGCACTTCTCTGGTGCCCGTGTACTCCTTTGGGGAGAATGATATCTTCAGAGTTAAGGCTTTTGCCCCAGACTTGTGGCAGCATCTGTGCTAGAAGATGCTGGGCTTCAAGAAGCTCCTGGGCTTTTCTCCTTGCATCTTCCGGGGCTGTGGTCTCTTCTCAGCCAACTCCTGGGGCCTGGTGCCCTTCTCCAGGCCCATGACCACTGTGGGTGAGTGTGCCCGTCTCCAGGGGAGAAGGCTGCCATCAGCTTCATAAGCAGCACGTCACCTGTGTCTCCCCTCTCCCCTCAGTGGGCTGCCCCATCCCGGTGCCCCAGTGTCTCGGGCCCACCGAGGAACAGGTTGACCACTCTCACATGCTCTACGTGAAGGCTCTGGAGCAGCTGTTTGATGAGCACAAGGAAAGCTGCAGTGTCCCAGCTTCCACTCGCCCCACCTTCATCTAGCCCTGGCCTTACCCCTCCCCCCACACTCACCAGCCCCACCAGCCCCTGATCCCAGTGCCGTGAGACCCCCACCTACTGCCATACTACTGCACCAATAAAAGGTAGTTCTCTCACACCACTACTTCATAGAATCGGATGCCCACCATCGGATTCCCAGCTCCACCAGCAACTGACCGTAGCCTTATCCAAGTCACTTAAGCTTTTCAAACCTCAGTTTCCTCCTTATAACGCGAGGCTACCTACTTCAGAGTTGCAGGGTTTCTAATTTTTATTGAAATACAACACAGAGAAGTGCACAGATCACAAGGGCACGGGGTTGATTTTTCATCCACTGAACATACACGGGGTTGTCCTGGGAAGTGAATGAGAGGTACTCAGGCTCATGGGACGGCTGCACTGGCATCCTTATGTATGGATTGAGAGGAACTGTCAGCCATCGTCCTCCCACCCATCTCTACCCTTGGATTTCTCTGCTGGGTGGGTGCCCACTCACCCAGTATGGAGCCAGGAGGAAACATCTGGAAGCCTTTTCAGAGAAAGAAGAGAGCGAGCGGTCAGCACTTGGATGGGCTGGGCTGGGGACGAGCCTTTTGAATGGGTAGAGGAGTCGACCCAGCAGGCTGGAGGAGGTTAGGGTCCATTAGAGCATCATTACAGCTGTTTCGGAAGCTCCAGCCCCAGACAGTGAGAATCCCACTGGGTCAGACTTCAGCCCTGCGCCCGGGGCTATCCCCACTCACCTGCCACCCATGCAGACCCTAATGTGGGCTCTTCTACAGACCTATTTCTGGTCATTCTTCCAGAGCTCCAGCCCCAGTGGGTCCTCCCCTACTGCTAGTCCTTGCAGCCCTGAAAAGCCAACCCATCTGTAGACAAAACATAGCATCTGCGTATCCGAGGAGCTTAATATCCTGCACTGCCCGCTGCCACCAGACGTTATCATTCCCCGGTAACATGCTAGGGATGCCAGAATCACCCTCACCGCCTTCCTCTCTCCCCACCTTCCAGAACCCCAGTCACACTTCCTGGCCTCCTGTCTTCTTCTTCCTGTCTTCTTAGCTGCTTCTCTTACTCCAGGCCCCCATCCCTCCCGTGGACTTCCTCTGGGACCATTCCTCAGAGAGGAGGGGTCTTGCCTCTCATCTCCCATCTAACACCTTCTCACGCTGGCAAGATGCTCTCCCGAAAACACTGTTTTCATCATGCCATTCCTCCTGTTCACTGGGACCGGATCCTCACTGTCAGAAGGTGTGAACTCCTCAGCACAGCATTTGAGGCACCCCGCAAACAGAGCCCTACCCTATAGACACACAGGGTACCAGACACAGAAAAGTGCTGTCTGCTTTTGCCTGGGTGCTGCCTCCAGCAAGACGTGGTCTTTGTGCAAATTAGACAAAGAATGTTCCAGGTTGGGCGGTGACAAACATGTGCTCTGGGATCTTCTCTTTGGGGGCCGGTGCCACGTGCACAGAGAGAAGATGGGTCACTAAACTGCCTAAAGGATCTATTGTAGTTTCAAGAGCTCTGGACTCCACAGTACAGAGCCGTCAAGGTTACCTGTCCCATTTCTCCTGCCGTGTATCTGGATAATAACCCCCAACACTCTGTGGTTTCTCCTCCTATCTGGAAGAGTCTAACTTACAAATATATGAATATATGCCTTAGGGGCAGAGCTCATTGCCTCCTGGCAGGCCTTCTTCCTTCCCTGCCATTGTCCATGTGGCCACCAGAGGGCAACCTCTACTCACAAGGCCAATCTGTCACTCTCCTGTTTAAAGCCCTCCCCTGGCAGGCCAGCCCCTACCTACAGGATGGGTGCAACCCAGAATTGCTTGTTCTTGCCAAGCAGGCTGTTTCTCAGCTTTGGGCTTTGCTCAGGCTTCCCCCTGCGCAGGAGGGACCCTGCCCTTCTTTGTCATCTGGAGGGGATTTTTTTTTTTCTTGCCTCACCCCGTGGCATGTGGGATCTTAATTCCCAGACCAGGGATCGAAGCAGCTCCCCGGCCCCCGCATTGGAAACGCGGAGTTTTAACCACTGGACCGCCAGGAAAGTCCCCAGAGGGGAATTTCTAAGACGCACTTCCCTTGACCAGCCAACGTGTCAGGCTGGTCCAGGGCATCCTCTGCTCCGCATCCGCGTAGTGCTTCCTGAAGATCTAGCAAGATCCTCTGTGTCGCTTTAAAACATCAATTTATCAAAAAAGTTGGCTAGCTTCAACATTCATAAGGGCACTAACAGCATTGGATTGCAATACATTAAGCCTGTTTAAAATCAATTATTACTTTCAGACCGTTATGAAACGGTCTGAAAGTAATAATTGATCACCACTGAAGGATGCTGAGGAAACACCACATTATTTGAACAGTTAACAAATAAAGGGAAAAATGTAAGCATTTATCCGGTCTTTCCTTCAACAAGCTACCTCTAAGGGTAATCATAGTAGAAGAGAACAAGTTTCCTTTTATAGGCATATTCCAGCTGGGGGGGGGACCCAGAATGACAGATTAAGAATATCGCCGTTTTGTAACCCCTAATAAATGATTGGATTTAGGTCAAACATCAATATTCGATAAAATTTCAGTAAGACAACCATATTTGAGCCTTTAGGGGAAGAATGCAACACCACCTATAGCTTGGACATGAAAAAACTGGAACTTTGGGAAACTTTCAATTCTGATTGGTTGAGGAAACTAGAGGTGGGTGAAGGTTGGACCAATCCAAGCGTTTCTGGTGGCAGAGGGGAGTCTTCTGGTGAAAGAGAAGGAATTAGGGTGTGATCGCATCTCCTTTCGGTCACTAGTGACTTTTTCCTCCAGCACCTTTAACTTTTGGAGGTCCTTTCCCACACTGGAATGTATTCCACCTTGACTGCAGCTTTGTGAGATGCACAGTGTGCTAGCAGTTTCAAAAAATCAGAAATGGGGGGAAGTCTTATTTTTAAAAAAAGGTTGAGTGACTTATTTATTGGCCTATTGGCCTTGAAGTCAAGAGACGACTCTGATCCCTTTAACTCTCGGGGTGGCTTTGTGTGTGGAAGTCCAGGAACGCGATCCTCCATCTTTTCACGTTAGCACAGCCAGTGGGATTACCAGGTTATGGAGTGATTACCTTGGAAAGTATAAAACTGGGATGAGGTAGGTGAGAGGTCAACTTCTGTGGGAAGCGGGGGGGGGGGGGGGGGGGATGGGGGGGGGGCAGGAATGGGAGGGGAGACAAGGGGGTGGTGTCCCATCCTCCGCAGCACTTTACAGGTTTTAAAGGACGTTCACATCCATCCCTTGCCTGGTTCCTTGCAGGTAGAACTGCAGGTGTTTTTGTCTCACTTTATGGGGTGGGGAGCTCCCAGGAGTTAAGAGCCTGGGTCACCAGCTTGTCCAGAGTCAACAGCAGAGCTGCAGCCACTCCGGTTCCGGGTCTACACTGCGCTCTCCCTCCCCCTTCGTCCACCCACCGGGTTAGCCCGGGTGCCCAGCCGTGTGCACAGAGGTCTGTGTTCTTGTCCTCGGGTGTCCCCAGGTGTACATTGAAGCCTTTCTCTCTGCGTGCTGCCCCGCGGGGGCCTTGCTGCCTGATGGCAGGTGAGATGCCTGCGGCTGAGATGTCCGTGGCTGAGTGGAGCTGAGCCTGCCAGTGCGGAGGGCTGGGAGGGGGGCGTGAGGCTGCTCGGCGACCCCCGGGGAGTGGTGGCCCGGCTGACCCGTCTTGGCCTTGCTCTGCTCCTTTCAGCTCTTGGCTTCTGCCACTTGGTGTCTCTATCCTTCCTGATCTTCATGGGTTTCCAATTTCCTCTATCAGTTTCTCCGACCAGGTCCCCAGGGTGTTGGGGTCCGCGTCCCCTTTCCAGCCGCTGTTACTTGTCTAGCAGCCGGAGGTCAGAGAATGGGGCTGACGTTGCGGGAGGTAGGGGCGTGGCTCCCGGAGAAGGGGGACTGGGCGTGGGGGGTATTCCCGGACTCAACATAGAGATGCTGCGGGCATGGGGCCATAACTAAGCCAGCAATCAGGCCCCTCCACCGACGCTCAAGACGCCTCCCCACCCTCAGTCCCGCCCCCCACCGGGACAAGGGGCGGATTCTCGTCTGCAAGGCTAGAGGCCACCCAGCAGCGCCCACCTCGCCGCCCAGGGGCCACTCCGCTTTCCCAGGCGCCCCGCCACCCCACCGCCTGCCCCCAGCGCCCGCCAGCCCCCGGTGGCAACCTAGTCCGCTCCAGATCCGCGCCACGTTTCCTCTGCATCACTGGGGTTTCCTCCCCTCGGCCGAGCCCGAGCAGAGCAGCGACCGCGCGTACCGCCCGAATCCCGAAGCTCTGGGCGCCCGAGCCCGCGTGCAGGACTGAGCAGACCCGGCCTTCGCATCGGAACTCCGAGTCGGGACCGGACGGCGGCGGCCGGGTCCCCGCGCGTCATCGGAATTTGACCCTCGGAGCTCCGAGGTGACCCCGCTCTAGGTACCGTTCGCTGTCTGCGCGGCCGGCCCCGATCGGCTTCTCAGCAGCCAGTCCCTGGCCCTGGCTTGAGAGAGGTAGGGGGGCAGCCAGGCCTGGGGGCGGGGGGCTGGCATGCTCCTCCCCCGCGGAATGGGGGCAGCAGAAAGCCACGCCCCTCAGGGGAAGAGAGCCTCTGCGCCCTCTACCGCCCAACCCATCCCAGCCCCACGTCCCAGATAACTCGAGAACCGACTTCGCCCAGGTGTTCAGAGGAGCTTTCCCTCCGCCTCCCGCCATCATTTGGCTCCCACCTGTCCCAGTCTGGTGGGACTGGTGCCCAGGGGGCCCCCTGCCTAGTACACAGCTTCCTTCGGGATCTCCCTCCCGCCTGCTTCCCCAAAAGACCGGGGACCACCCTCCAATACAGCCGCCCCTTCTCCATGATGGTGGCCCTCTGAGGCACCCCCTCTCCCCAGTTCGTTGGTCCATCTTCCTCATCCCCTGCCCCTGCCTCACTTCATCTTGTCTCCCCTGCCTCTGCTCTCAAGTCTCTGTTCTCTTCCAGCCTCTGCTGATTTTCTCCTCCCCGTGACCCCTTTCCCCACCACACACCACGGGGAGAAGGGGGTGTGTCAAGCTGCTTTCTATTTCTGGTCTCCTTGGGGAGGGGGCGCGTGCTAGGACTTGTTTGGCATCTGCTGTGCCCTGTGTCACGAGGTGTCATGTCTGTGACTTGGTATCAGTGCCTCTCCCCCACCCCCCATCGTCTCCAGGTTGCCTTGGTCTCCTTTCTGCCTCGGCTCCAGTCCTTTTCGCTCTCTTCTTTGGGCGCTTTGTGTAGCTGCGGTCTCTTTGACTCCGCCTCTCCTCTCTCTGCTTCCTCTGCTCCGTGTTCCAGCTCAGAGAAGCTGCGACCTCAGGGCCATCAATATTTCAGGTGTGTTTGGTGGGACAGAGATGGGGTGGGGGATGGGCTCCCGGCATGCCCAGCGACGACTCCAATCATCCTCTCGCCAGAGTGGATCATTCATATTTATGAGATTGAGAGAAAGGATACAAGGATGATAAGGAAATGCTGCCCCCTTTCCTGGAGCTTGGTCCAGGGGGTGCTTGGACTACATTTCCCATAGTGCCCAGGGGCACAGGGCTGCCTCTGTCTCTGCCTAGACACCTAATGGGAGTTAGAATTCAAGGAGCTACACTGGAGGGTGGGAAGGGATCAGAGTGTGGAGCAAGGGCTGTGGGGCCAGCTGGCTGCTTTCACTTGGCCTGTTTCCCCTGACCTGCTTTGTTCCCAGCTCCCACCTCCTCCAGGGTTGAAGGACCTTAGAACTTTTGCATCTCCCTCAAAGGGAATAGGAGTAGAGCGCCGGGGAAGAAAAGATGCAGGGTGAATTAGCAAGTTCCCCGTTCTTTCCTGTGACCCTGGGAATCCCCTCCCCTTACACACATTTTATCTGAGATGCAGACACTCTTTGGCAATAGTCTCCCCATCTTGAAAGTAAGAGGGAAAATGGAGCCTAATGTCTGCACCTAGTAGGATGTGTTCCGGTCTACAAGTTGCTCACATTCTGTCCCCTTATGGGGGCAGTGGGGAATTGCTGGAATATCCCTGAAGTACCAGCTTGTATGTTCCAGGGACCCATGAACAGCTGATGAGATTGTCTGGAGATCCAGATGGGAGCCACAAGCTAACCTGCTCCTCTCTGGGACTCATCATCCCCAGAACCTGGCGCAAGTAATCTGACTGAGCTCATTTTTGGCATAGAAATTATTGACGGTGGGGAGAGGGCAGTGTGCGTTCCTCCCGCAATCTCATCTCTGCTTCTGAGTCAGCTTAACCCTTAGCACTTGGAAACTTTGACTCCTGCCAAGGACCCAGTCATGCCTATCCTTGCTCTTCAGGCTGGGGTCGGAGATCTCCCCACTGGCCTGAGATCCAGGAAGATTTAACTTTTAGCCCAGCTTTGTCCAAGCTGACTCACCTTAGGCAAGATCTTAACCATCTCGGGCCTTGATTGATTTCCTCTCTGTGAAAGGAATGGGTTGAACCTGACGGTCCCTAGTGGCCATAGCAGGGGCTCTAAGATCCTCTAAGAGCCTGTGCTTCTCCCTGCCCTCTGATGATACTGGCCTGAGCTGTCTTAACGTCACCCCAGCTTACCTGGGAGAGTCTTAAGCCTAAGAATTAGACGGAAAAGAAAGCGGGAGATGGAGCCCTGGTTTTGAAGCTTGTTTGTGTTGGAACCACACTGTGCTTACATAAGCCATGTTTGTGACATGGAAGCTAAAATTATCCCTAACCCACCCCTTGGTGCCCCTGCTGGTCCCATCTCCTAAACCTAGGTCATGTTCTTGTAAAAAAAAAAAAAAAAAAAAAGTCTAATCATCCCCAAATCACCCTCCTCAAAGTAGCTGGTATGTGTGTCCCCTGGGATGTTGGTTACTGAGGCTTATGTAGGTTATGTGAGTGGACAATTCTAATTGGCTGAAAGAGAGAAGAGGGGATTTGATTGGTTGATTTGGTTGGTCTGGAGGAGAGAGATCTGGAAATGAGGAATCATCCGGACTTGGGGACGGGCCTTTCTCTTTCGTCCTGTCTCTGGGCAGGGGAAAAAGAAGAGCTGGATGCCAAAGGGGTACCAGATCCACAGGCCATTGACCCAAAAAGGAAACTCTGAGGAATGGGAAGAGCAGGGGTAGCCTGAGTGGGAGATGAAGCAAGGATTACAGGAAGAAATTTCCCAAAAAGAAGACAAGAAGAGAGAGAAGGGCGTGTGGATCCAGGGGCCCAGCCAGTGAGGGTGCGTGGCGGATGTGTAGAACTCGGAATAGCGGAGGAACCTGACAGCCTCTGTAATTTAGAATTCCGAGCACAGAAAGAGGGGAGCAGACAAGAGGGGGTAGGCTGGGGTTGGGAGCAGCTAGAATGGGGTCTGGACCCCTGAGTAGACTGAACTCTCGCACAAGAGGGCCTGAATGCAGGAGCAGCTAAGAGATGGGCTCCGGGGCGGAGCTAAGAGGAAGCTGGGAGTAGCAGGCTCCTGGGAGTGGAGCCAAAGAAAGAGGGCGTGGCGAGTGGGCAAGGACCTGATGCTCAGGGGTCTGGAGCATCTCAAGAGGTGGAAGAGACGCCCGCGAATGATCTTTCCGCGGGCTCTTGAATCCAAGACCCAAGTGCTGAGGAGAGCTCCCTGGGCAGGCCCCGGGTCTGGCCCAGCGCTCGGGGTGGTGACGACGGAGTGCTCAGCGTGTGGGAAGAGGCGAGCCCTTTGAACGGAGAGCCCTGGCAGGGGCGAAGGCGGGGCGGGGGCCCCCTAACGGCCTCGGCCCGCAGATCGCCCTGGGGTCGGTGCACGTGATCGACGCTGGGGAGACGGCTCTGGTGGAGGGGCTGCGCGCGGCGCCCTGGGAGTGCGGCAAGGGCGTGGCTGGGATGCTGCAGCGCCTCTGCTCGCAGCTGGTCAAGCGAAGGCACCCGGGGATCAAGGTGGCACGACTCACCCGGGACGACCAGCTGGGGTCCCGGGAGCTGAAGCAATAGCACCTAATCACCAAGCAGGTGAGAAGGACAAGGGAGCTCGGATGGGCGGGCCTGTCTCCGAGGGGCCTCCGGGCGTTGTCACCCTATATGCAGCCAGTTGCCGGCTTTCCTTCGCTCCCGGCTCTGCCGAGTGGGGGCGCCCATGAGCCCTGCCCTGGGACTCCCAGTCCTTACCCAGGCCCTTTTGCCCAGGAAAAGTCAAACAGCTCCCGACTTCCCGTCTTTAAATCCTCCATCCTTACTCCAGGAGGCTGGAGCCCAGGCGTCCCGACTTAGTGTCCCCGCCTCTCCTCAGGGACCCAAACATCCTAATCTGAGCCTTTGTCCTTCCCCTCCGTCTCCCGCATCCTACTGACTGATCAGCTTCCCTTGCTTCCACTCTTGGGGTCCACATCCCCACGACCCTGACTACTCCACATTGATCTCCACTCTCATTGGGGATCCAGGTTTTCGGAGGCCTTGCCCCTGGTTCCTGCATGCTCTCACATACCCCACTTCACCCGGCCCCGCACGGTCGGCCCTCGAGGGGCCCAGGTGGGAGCCCGTGGGTGTGAATGTGGGAGTGACGGTGCCAAGAGAAGCCGGGCTCGCAGCCCTCCCGCCGCCCGCCCCGCGATCACTCGTGCCCCCCCGCAGGGCATCCTTTTGGTCCAGCTCAACGTGTCGGCCCTGCTGGAGGGGCTGGGCGCGCGGCTGGCGGCTCTGCGGGCCTTCTCGCCGCTGCCCACGGAGGCCGTGTCGGAGGCTGGCGGCGTCGTGGCACGCCTCCCCTGCTGTCGCCCTCTGTGCAGCGCGACGTGCTTCCGGGCGGGACCATCATCCAGGACTGGCAGCCCTACCGGCCGAGCGAGAGTAACTTGAGCCTGCTGGCGGCCAAGGGCCTGGAGTGGCGCGTGAACAGCCGCGCGCGCCCGCGCGTGCTCACGCTGTGCACGCGCCCCTTCCCCATCCCACCTGGCGGCAACGGCACGTGGCGCTACGTCAACATCTACACCTTCGTCAGCGAAGGCGCGCAGGTTCAGAGCCAGCTTCTGTGGCATCTGCAGCGCCAGGCCCCGCGTCTCGTCCACCTCAACGTCATGTGCCAGCTCTTCCTGGCGCCCCAGCTGTGGTTACAGCTGGCTGATTTCTGCCAGGCTGGCTTGGGGCTCGAGCTGGTCAAGGGTTATACCGAACAATACCTGCTGGAGGCCGACATCTAAGGCCTCTCCAGTCGGAGGGGAGAGAAGATGCACTTTAGACCCACCTGCTTCCTCGTATCCCCCCAAAGCCCCGCCCCTGCTGTTTTCAAGCTCCGCCCCTCCCCCTGCCCTCGGCCATCGGCTCTGCCGCCTACACTTACCCGCAGTCCATCCTTCCCTCCCCTTTTCCCCTCACATCTCTGTCTGCCATCTTGACTCTAGCGCCCCCAAACGCAGTTGCCCACAACCTGATCTGAACCGCCGGGTTTGGGGAAGCCACTCGCGCTTCTGTTGTCCACCCATTCCCTCTCCCTACCAAAGAATGGGTTCCTTCACAGCTTCGGAGCCTTTCCCTGTCCGTGCCCCAGCCTGGGAGTGTACTCTGCCCTTTGTGGCTTCTCCCTTCTGCCCCGTCGTGGATGGAAGCTGGCAGAGTGTGTGCAATGCCCAGTACCCGGCCAGGAGCACAGTTGCCCAATACGTATTACTTTTCTTGCTCCCGATCTTTCTCAGGCCCCCAGAGCTTGCCCTCTGCTCCTCTCCTCACCGTCCTCTCAGTCTCCCGTGCCTGGACCTCTCTTAGTTCTCCGTTGTCCATTTGTCTGCCCCTCCATTCCCCTTCTCCATGGTCTCTTCATCACCCGCCCTGTGTGTAATATGGAGAAGGACCTGTAAAGGAAATAGATTTATAATGCCCCACCCCGATTTGGCCCCTGCTTACGCTCTGGTGATGCACTTTTCTGAGGCTGCCTCCTCTGACTGGGGTTTCCTCCAACTTTGCACAGTGGTGCTATTTTGCAGGCTCCCTTCCCTATGCCCCCAACCAGGGACCCGAAGCAGGCCCGTGAACCAGAGGGTTCTGGGTGGAGAGCCTGGTGTAGTGGAGGGCAGGTCGCTCAGCCTGGTGCGAGTCTGTCTCCTGCTTCTACCCAGGCTGCCTCCTAGCGTGACTGGAACCCCCTCCTCCAGATATTTCTGGACACCCCTCCCATCCTCTTGTTCCTTTATGCTTTTTGTGGACTTTGACAGTCTTCTATTTAAATGTAAGTAGTAACAGCTGCATTTGCACAGCGATGTCTCCTACACGGGATCCTCACGTCTCCCGCAGAGGGAGGAGAGAGAGGCTCAGACTCAAGTGCCTTCCAAGTGGCTCACAATAGCTGGTAGCCTGGCAGAGACTAGAAACCAGGTGTCCCCAGCCCAGAGCATACCTCAGAACCTCACTGTAGCTGGAACTTCTTGTTGGACAATGGACAGCGAGCACAGGGTTCGCTGGGGATGGAATCAAAGACATGGACAGAGGAGGGCGCCAGGAGGTGGAAGAAGGTGGACAAAGCAGACAGCCGCTGCTCCCTTTCCCCCCCGTTCCGGCTGCGCTGCTGTGCCTTGCTTGGCTGCCTCCTGCACCTAACCAAGCTGCCCTCCTCCCTGTCACTTCAACCATGGCTGTACTGCAATAAAACGGGCCCTTGGCCCACCTTCTGTGTCTGTTTCACTTCTTCTCGGTGGGGAGGGATGAGCTGCATTGTCCTCTCCCCCTTCCCCAGCAGCCTGTATCAGAGAGGATCTCTAAGCCCTGTGGCACTGGGGCTAATGACTTCCTGGAGGGGAGCTGGGGAGGGCTGCTGGCCGTTGCGCGCCCCTACCCCCCACACCAGCCAAGCGGCAGAAAGAATTGATTGCTCAGAACCGAGGCGGGCAGCGGCACGGCGCTTGGACTAGCCCCCGGCCTCGCTTTCCCCTGGACCTGGGAGTCTGCCGCTGCTCCAAATTCTTGCTCTCTCGCAAGTTCCCCTTGGCATCCAGAACCAGCCTGCCTCATTCCCACGATCCAGGCATCTAACTCCCAGCTCTCGGCTCTCTCGCGGCCAGCGCCCTTGCTTTCTCCCCATTCCTGGGTGGGCACCGCACGGAGGGGGAAGAGGTGGAGGGAGCCTGGGCGCCGCCCCGCGGGAGCAGAGCTCCGAAGCGGCGGAGACTGCGATCCCGAAAAGTACCACGCGGGGGCGCCAGGACGTGTGCGGACGCGGGCAAGGCAGCGCAAGGTGGTTTCCGTCCGTGTGAGTGTGTCCATGGGCGTCTTTGTGTGTCTGTGTTTCTGTACATGTGTGTACGAATCAGGGGGTGTCTGGGTGGGATATATTCGGGGCTACGGGCCTGGCGTACCCCAGAATCAGGTACTCCAAGTGGCTTCTTGACGAGGAGGCGCTTGATAGGTTACTATGTACGTGTGGATGGGGAAGCAGGGGACTGTGTGTATCGTCGCGTATGCAAGGCATAGCCTGTGAGTCTTGGATTTTTGAAGTTATATTCCTTTAGGGCTTTTATGCCCTCCCACCATCCTGTGTAAAAGGAATCGAGGGCTCTCAACCTGAACCTCCATTACACTGGTCACATCTTCAGCATGTGCCTGGACAGGTGACTCTGCTGGACTAGGTGTGACATTGTGTTTGTGTAAGTGGGTGTGTCTCAGGATATCAGTGTAACTCTGAATGATACTGTTGTGTGTGTGTTTGTGTGACAGGTGGATGCTGGAAGAGGCTGGTTCAGGATTATGGAAGTACAAAATTTCCTTTCTCCTGTTAGCTTGTGGATACCACCTTCAGGGGGGTGTGTGTGTGTGTGTGTGTGTGTGTGTGTGTGTGTGTGTGTGTGTGTTCCTTTCTCCGTCTTTCCAGTGGCTGTCTCTGTGTCTCTCCTCATCTCTGTCTCTTTCCCTCTTTCTCTTTTCCTTTCTTGGTGACTCATCTCTGCGGCTTTGCCCTCCCCCAGCTTGCTGGGTCTCCCCTCCCCCACCCAGGAGTGGGTGGGGGTATGAAGGAATGGGACCCTGGGACTAAAAATCAGGGTGAGCACCCCTTTATTACTCATCATTCCCAGACCCACCAGTGGCCCGTAGCTCTCTCCCAGTCCCCTTCCCAGGACTCCCCACCCTCCTGAACTGGGATGGGCAGGGGATAGGCAATGATGTGTTCTAATGGGGTCATTTCCACGGGGTTCTTCAGCACTTTCTTTCAATTCAAGGTGGAGACCCCTGCCTTTCTCATAAAGTGCCCCTCCCTGCCTGTCCCCCCCATAGCTGACGCATTGAAAGGCTGCAGAGGTGAGTCACCGGTTGCGGGGAAGGGAGGAAGAGAGGGGAGGTGAGCTGCGGGGACCCCCAAGCCCCTGCCCTCTTTTCCTTTCCCAAACCTTCTCAGGGAAAAGACCCAGTGCTCTACCCCCTCCCTGGGTTTTCCAAATCTTCAGCTTGGATCATTACTTGGTTGGAGCCCATCTTCTCTTACTACCCTCCTGGAGAGTATGAGAGATTCAGAAACAAAGATAAAGAGACGGATTTACACAAACATCTCAGAGCAAACACCAGGCATCCCCTCCTGGTCCCCTTCTCAGCTTTGCCTTTCCCAGCTCTGTCTCTCATTCCTCTTTCTTTCCTGCCATCTCCCTCCTCTTCCAAACTCCAGGAACCTGTCCCCAGTCCAGCTCTTTTCCAGAAGCCCCTAGAGGCAGCCAGGTGTGAAGGGCATAGCACATTTTTGAGAGGTGGGGTACGTGTGAACGAGCTGACCCAGGCAGGGAACTGGGATAGAGAGAGGCAGAAACAGACCCAGAGATTCAGAGTCCATGCAGACACAATCCAGATTGTGGAATCACCAAATCTGTTGCCCTGGCTTCCATCTCACTGCCCTCTCCCCCCTGTCATAATGACTGAGACTCTTGGGATGTCGATTTCTGAGAAGCTCCCCTGGACTTCTGGGCGGAGTGGAGGAGGAAAGCATTGGGGAAGAATGCAGGAATGAGGGAACACTCTAAAAAACGCGGGGCAAGACTTGAACTTGGGGGCTGCAGATGAGTGGCTAGGATACTGACGCTTTTCTGCACAGAAATCTAGAGGTGAAGGTAAGTGGGGGAAGGGCAGGAAAGATCAAAAGCACATAGCAGTCCACATAACCTGTAACATATATCAACTGACATGGAAGGACCCAGATAAGTGCACAAAGACACACGTATTATTGACACACCAAGCCAGGCACAATTTTCAGACACCAGCAGATACCCAGACTGGATGCACTCAAACTCCCAACCGCACAGGTATACAGGCACTCAGAGGGATCAGGACCCACACACACTCACACTTACAGAGACACCTGGAAACAGGCAAAAACACAGCTCCGCAGATTGGAAGAGAAAATTACATATTTAAATTGGAACACTACCATGCCCATCCACTCTCTAGCTGATTAAATACACAACTGGTCCCCCCATTTTCCATTTCTTTTTCTTTCCCCCTATGTTTCACTAATCTCAGGACACACACAAACGCAATGCACATGTATGTACATGCATGTGCACATATACAAGCCCACAGGAACACAAACAATTTCTCTAGATGCCCATCTCCGTCATCTCATACTTGGTCTCTTAGCCCCATCAGCCTCTCAGGCTGACCCCCCCCCACCTCGCCTCCCTCCCTCCCTCTTTCCTTCTCTCTTGGATGGCTTCCCCTCCCCCCAACAGATGTCTGAGCCATCTCTCTCTGATTCATCCTCCTCAGGAAGGTAACGTGACCCCCCCCCATTCCACTGCTCTCGGTAACCAGGCAGGGAGGATAAAGGGGAGTGGGTTGAGGAGGAAGACGAATGAGGGGAACCCATAGGGGCAGAGGGATGTCCTAGATAGTCCGGGGAGGGGATGCGGCACAGTCTCAGGTCTGTTGCCCCCTCCTCTCCTTCTTTGGCATCTTCACAGTCACCTTGGTTCTCCTATTTTTTTTCTCTTTAGCCTGATGCTTTACCTGTTCCAGATGCCTGCCTGCCTGCCTCCCTCTCCTGCCCCCATCTCTTCTCTCTTTCCTCTCTCTCTACTTCTCCCCACCTCTTTCCCCGCAGAGCTGATGGGTTTTCTTCTGGGAAAGTGGAGCCACTGATGGAACCGAGAAGCCACTGCTGGCTATAGAGGGAAAGCACGTGAGCGTGTGTTTGTGTGTTTGTGTGTGTGTGTGTGAGAGAGAGAGAGTTTGAGAGAGAGAGAGAGAGGAGAGGATGAGGGTCAGTGCTAGGAAGAGATGAGGAAGGGGTTGAGGACTGGTTCTGAAAGAGTCTCTGAGCTCCTGACATACAGCTCTGATCCCGGTTTCCAGAGTCTTAGGGCGCGGGTGCCCTGTGTGTGCCCACAGGCACCCGTGTCCGCAGTCCTTGTGTGTCTGGCATGTGTCATTCCACTCCCCCCTTTCCCTGCCCACGCCCCCGCACAGCTCTCTGCCTGCACCGCAGCCCCCCTCCAGCCTCCCTCCCTCCCGTTCATTTCTGCAGTGGCTGCTCCCCTTGCCTCCCTCCCCTCTCCCCTGCCCCCCTCCTCATTTCCGTCCTCCCCCACCCCCGCCCACGGCTGGTCTCCCTTCACTGGACCCGGCTCGCTGATGGATTCTCTTTGCGCAATCTGTGCGTCATCGCCCCCCATCCCCCCGGAACCTCTAACTGTCCAAGCCCTCAATCCCAACCCCTCTGGCAGGAGATGCGGACGAGGGGTCTGGTGGCAGAGAGCGGCGATCTCTGACGTTGCACTCCCACCCTCCACGCCCCCCTCCATCGCGTTTAAATCTTCCCTTTAAGCAATGGAGAGAGATGGAGTTGAGTCACCCCCCACCTGCGCACCCCCCTCCCCACCTGGTCTGCTCTCGTCCTCCAAACGTCCTTTGGGGGGTAGCAGCGAGAGGGGAAGAAGCAGGAGGGTGGTGGGGAGAGGTGGTCTGAAAAGGGGCCAACAGAGTCAGCTGGACAGAAGGACAGACACACATTTTTTTCTCGAGACACGCACAGACCATGAACAGACACGACACAGAGGCACACACATCCTCAATCTTTTCCCTATCTCTTCCAACTTGGATCCTTTCCGACAGCATCACCCAAGCCTCAAGATCCACCCATGTGCCCCTGCCCATGGCCCGCATCCCGCACCGCAGATCCGCGGACAGCGCCCGCAGGCGCGCAGAACCATCCCTCCTCTCTCAGGTTCACGCCGTCCTTGGGCGTGTTCCCCACGCACCGTGCAGTCGGGGAATGGGGAGTCTGGCCCCCTCCTCAGTTTTGGAATCCTTCTCTTCCCCCTTCCCAGTGTGGATCTCCTATGGGTCCCAGTCAGACGCTGGGAGAGCCCCCACCCTATTCCGCTCGTCGGGCTCCCGCCGCTGCAAGTTGCTCTGTAACCCACCCTCCCGCCTTGCAGCGTCTCTGAATCCACCCTTCCATTCATTCTGCCATTCATTCATTCATCCTTTTCTCCTCGTCCCTCCTTCATTCATTCATAGCCCCCCTGCCCCGCCCGCCTCAGCATTTCATTCATTCATTCCTTCATTCATTCATTTCCCTGGTGCCAGGATAGCGCACACCCCTCCAAAGAGGCCTGCAGCGCGCAGGCGCGGGCCGGGAGAGGCACGCATCCTCCAATCGCTGGGCGGCCTCCCGCCTCTAGGCGCCCGCCCGCTTCCCCATGAATGAACATTGACGTCAATGGGGCGGGGCGATTCCCACGTGACCCCGCGCGCTGCTCTTTATAAGGCGGTAGCGGCGCGGGCGCTGTCCAGCGTGCTGAAGCCTGAGCGAGCGAGTCTCCCGGAGCCGCGCGGATCCAGCTGAGCCCAGCCCACTGGACGCCAGACCTCGACCATCGCTCGTATCCTAGCCACCGCTCGGAGCCGAGGCGGACGAGCCCCGATCTTCCCCTGTCCCCACCCCGCCCCGACCCTCCTCTCCACCTCCCGCGTCGTGGCACCAGCTGGTAAATACTCTGCTGTCCGTCCCTCAAACCCTCAGCAGCCGTGGGCGTGAGGGAGGGTTCTCTCTCCCCCAGTTGGGAGTGTTGAAAACACAGCGGGGAGCCCCCGGGAAGGGTCCCTGGTAAATGGGGGAGTCGCCGCTCTTCTCTTGCTGCTGAAGTCGCCCACGCACCATCCGGGGAGTCCTGTGGGGAGGGAGCAGAGATTTTTTTTTTCCCCGTATCCTTGCTGCTTAGTACGTGGGCGCTGCCAGTGAGCTGGCTCAGGGAAGGGGGGCGAGGAGGCACCGGGGGAGCAAGGGTTGCAGGCGTTTTCCCATTTACACGACTCCAGAGATCGGCACATCTTCCTCCTTTGCTCCTAAACGTCCCTTTTCAGGGTAAGGTTAGGGGGATAAGGGAAGCCCCGGCTTTCCTGATTAAAGGTGGGGGAAGGGAATATAAAATCAGAGAGCGGAAAATTCTTACAGAAACCCTCTCTTTCTTTGGTCACTTCTATTTTTTCACAGTCTCCGGCAGCACTTCGGTCATGAAATCGCTCAGGTTGCCGGCTCCTGTCCTCCTCTGCTTCCTTCTACTGACCAAGGGGTTGGGAGCAGCGCCCCCGGGGCACCCTGAGGCTCAGCCACCTCCCCCCAGCTCTGAGCATAAAGAGCCGGTAGCCGGGGACGCAGTGCTCGGGCCGAAGGATGTTAGCGCCCCAGAGGTCCGAGCCGCTAGGAATTCAGAGCCGCAGGACGAGGGAGAGCTTTTCCAGGGCGTGGATCCCCGGGCGCTGGCCGCGGTGCTGCTGCAGGCACTCGACCGCCCGGCCTCGCCCCCAGCGCCTGGCGGCTCCCAGCAGCGGCCAGAGGAAGAAGCAGCAGAAGCTCTGCTGACCGAGACCGTGCGCAGCCAGACCCACAGTCTCCCAGCGCCAGAGACCCAGGCGCCCGCGGCCCCGCCTCGCCCTCAGACTCAGGAGAATGGTCCCGAGGCGGCCGACCCCTCCGAGGAGCTCGAGGCGCTAGCTTCCCTGCTTCAGGAACTGCGAGATTTCAGTCCGAGCAGTGCCAAGCGCCAGCAAGAGACGGCGGCAGCAGAGACGGAAACCCGCACGCACACGCTGACCCGAGTCAACCTGGAGAGCCCCGGGCCGGAGCGCGTGTGGCGGGCTTCCTGGGGAGAGTTCCAGGCGCGCGTCCCGGAGCGCGCGGCCCTGCCGCCGCCTGCTCCCCCGCAATTCCAGGCGCGTATGCCCGAGAGCGGGCCCCTTCCCGAAGCCCACCAGTTCGGGGAAGGAGTGTCCTCCCCCAAAACACACCTAGGTGAGGCACTGGCACCCTTGTCCAAGGCGTACCAAGGCCTGGGCGCTCCCTTTACCAAGGCGCGCCGGCCGGAGACCTCACTCCTGGGCGGCTCTGAGGCGGGAGAGCGCCTTCTACAGCAAGGGCTGGCGCAGGTGGAAGCCGGGCGGCGGCAGGCGGAGGCCACACGGCAGGCCGCGGCCCAGGAAGAGCGGCTGGCCGACCTCGCCTCCGACCTGCTGCTCCAGTATTTGCTGCAGGGCGGGGCTCGGCAGCGCGGCCTGGGGGGTCGGGGTCTGCAGCAGGAGGAGGAGCGAGAGACCGAGAGGGGGCAGGAGGCGGCGGAGCAGGAGAGACGCGGCGGGGAGGAGAGGGCGGGGGAAGAGGATGAGGAGGCGGCGGAGGCGGAGGCGGAGGCGGAGGAGGCGGAGAGGGCGCGACAGAACGCTCTACTGTTCGCCGAGGAGGAGGACGGAGAAGCCGGAGCCGAAGACAAGCGCTCCCAGGAGGAGACGCCCGGCCACCGACGAAAGGAGGCCGAGGGGGCAGAGGAGGGCGGGGAGGAGGACGACGACGACGAAGAGATGGACCCGCAGACAATCGATAGCCTCATTGAGCTGTCCACCAAACTCCACCTGCCAGCGGACGACGTGGTCAGCATCATCGAGGAGGTGGAAGAGAAGCGGAAGCGGAAGAAGAACGCCCCTCCCGAGCCTGTGCCGCCCCCCCGGGCCGCCCCCGTCCCCACTCACGCCCGCTCCCCGCAGCCCCAGCCCCTCTCCCCAGCCCCGGCTCGGGACGAGCTGCCCGACTGGAACGAGGTGCTCCCGCCCTGGGATCGGGAGGAGGACGAGGTGTTTCCCCCGGGGCCCTACCACCCTTTTCCCAACTACATCCGGCCGCGAACACTGCAGCCACCCGCTGCCTCGCGCCGCCGCCACTACCACCACGCCCTGCCGCCTTCGAGCCACTATCCCGACAGGGAGGCCCAGGCGCGGCGCGCTCAGGAGCAGGCGGAGGCAGAGGAGCGCCGGCTGCAGGAGCAGGAAGAGCTGGAGAATTACATCGAGCACGTGCTGCTCAGGCGCCCGTGACCGGCCCCGCCCCCGCGCGCCACCGCGCGCGCCGCCACCCCCCTCCGTGTCGCTCCTTTCCCCTCTCAGTGTTTGCATGCGCCCGGCCCCGCCCTCGGCCGCCGCCCAGCCCCGCCCCCGTCCACCCCTCCGCCCGCGGGCCGCCCCGCCCCCGGGCTACGCCGGGACCTGTCAGACCTCTTCGTGCGTCGGAAGCCCGAAATCCCAAACTCACTCACGGGTGTCTCGGGGCCAGCAGGGGGGGGCGGGTAGTTTGTGCGAGTTCCCTGCCCCCGCGGGGCCCAGTCCCCACCTAGTCCCTCTCGGGATGTCCCGGTCTGAAACCGGAAAAAGGATTTCCAGTTAACTGTGTGAAGAAGTGTCTGTCTCCCGCCCTTTGGGCCTCCCAAGAGCCTCTCCACCCTCTCCGGATCGCTGTGAATTTACCCCTTCTTTCCCTACTCTGTTGTAAATACCCCTCACGGAGGAAATAGTTTTGCTAAGAAATAAAAGTGACTATTTTATTAGGACTTTGTTCTCGGTTATTCACCCGTCCCCTTGGGCCTGCGTGGTCCTTCCCAAGGGGCGGTGAGGGAAGCGCCATCCACAACACCCATCTCCTGCTCAACAGCGAAGGTTGAGTGACAGAACCTCTTTCAACCGTATTCGGCGTGGGGGAGGGGGCGTAGAATAGGCTCACATCCTTTAGGAAACCCTAAATTCCACTTCCAGCTTGGGGGTTAAAGTCACAGGTCCCCAGGCCCTGGCAGAGAGATGCAGAGCGGACACGGTGCCACAGCTCTGAGCCACCTAGTAAATCCTTCTTTGCACGATCTCAGGGCCACCTAGGCAGTGCTGGTGGCTCCCACCACCCCTGCTCCACCTTACCCACCCACCTCCCTTAACTGCTCCCTCAATTCCCTGGTCCTATGTACCTCACAAGACATGTGGGGAGGAGGGGTTGGCGGCCACGGAAACATCCTTTTAACTGCTTCTCAAGCCTTTTCTAAGCATAGAGGATGGGATACATCCTTGAACTCTGGAGTCTCCTCCCCAAATGAAACTAAACCAGGTGAAGGACCACAAAGAAACCTCAGAGGAGTGAAACCATGTCCCCAGGAGTTGCTCCTCCCTGTCTGAAGGCAGCTCAGGGAGCTGGAGGCACCTTGGTCAGTGGTCACTGAGGTCAGAGAGACACTGAGCTCACAAATCTGTTTGGGGGGAGGGCGGTGCCAGGTAAAATACAGGACACTCAGTCAAATTTGCATTTCAGATAAACAATGAATACATTTGCACAGGACACACTCATCCTAAAAACATTATTCATTATCATAACAAATTGAACTGGGTATCTTCATTTTTTTTTGGGGGGGGGGCTTAAATCTGGCAACCCTAGTTCCAGGGATGAGTGGAACGGGCAGTGTTGCTTTCCCGTCCTGACTGATCGCAGCAGCCCTCCTTCACAGAGCCTAAGCCAGGCAAAGTCCAGAAATGCTTTTCCTTTTATTTTAGAGGAAAAGAAAAAAAAATCAGACACTTTCCCCACCCCACCCACTTAGCTCCTGCCTCACCGGGAACTCGGAGTGAAGGAGGGACAGGGCCCAGTCTTCTGTAAAGCCTACCCTTCCCCCAGCCCTCCCTTTCCTCAAAGTAGCAAGGTTAGAAAAAAATTAACTATGTTGCTCCTCCCCTGGAACTGAACGGAGGCCCCACTGCAGCCAAGAAGGAAGGGGAGGAGACAGATGAGGGAAAAGGACTTCCCTCTGGAGACACGGAGGTCCCCCTCCCAGGCAGAGAAGCTGCCCTGGCTGGCTGCGGGGAGGGCTGGAGGTAGGTTATGGGGCAGGGAGAAGAGAAGAGCCCTGAAAACTTTTTCCCTTTAACCTGACATATTTATATATTTACAGTTATAGGGGGGGGGGGGAGTTTGGGGTGACATTAGTTCTTCAAAGGCAGGGGATGAAAGCCAAATAGCACCCCCAACTTGGTCACATTTTCCTGCCTCCTAGCTCCTAAAACCTTCAGTGGGAAAAGGGGAAACAGGAGGTAGGGGGTGGAGGGAGGGAATGTTTGAGGGTCCTGAGCCCACAGTTCACTGCAAAAGAAGGTGAGGCAACAGAGGTGGGGCAGCTAGGTCCCACCAAGAAAAGGGCCACCGATGCCCTGCCTCTCCACCAGCTCCCCACATCTCCACGTGGCCCCGGGCGGAGGCTAGGCCAGACCCATCTCCTCCAGCACACTGCGTGGCGACTCATCCTCCTAAGGCAGAGACAGAAAGAGGGTGATGTGGAGACGCCAGGAGAGGCAGACAGGGTGAGGGAGTGGAGGGTGGGCAAGATAGCAATCGTCAGGACAGACAGAGGAGGGGGAAGCACAGAGAGACACGGGGAGGGAAGAGAGAAGCCAACGTGAGCCCAAGGCTGGAACAGCTGGGCACCCTTCAGGGGAGCTCTCCAGCCTCCCAGGAGCGCCTCCCAGGAGCGCCCCCCAGAGCCAACCATGGCAAGGAGTGGGGTCCAGGTTGAGTCCCCCACAACGCAGAGAACCCAAAGCCAGGAGCTTGGCGAGCAAGGGGCTCAGCCTCAGTATCCGAAGGGGAGGGAGGAAAACTGGGACTGGGGGCTGGGAAACTGGCTTTCCCAGGGCTGGGGGTGGCAGATGGTTGGGTGCGGGGAGGGAGTAAGAAGTTGGCATCAGGTCCCCGAGGAAAGGTGGACCAGACTGCAGAGAGATGAGTCATTAGGGTCTGAGCAGAGCAGTAGCAACAGGGTGGGTGTGTGAGTGCCAGGGCACGTGCGTATGAGTGTGCATGTGTGTGTGCGTCTGTGTGTGTGATGGGGGAGCTGGACCAGTGAGATGGCAAGTTGGATTCTGCCCTTTCTCCTTCTGCAGGGATGAGCCCCCCCCCGCCCCCCATCTCTCCCCCTCCTCAGAGCCAGCTCAGGCCGGCTTGCTCATCATTGCAGGTTCCGGTGACTCATCTCCCTGCACCAAGGCTCAGCAGTGGCACAGCAGAGAGGGGGCAGGCAGTAATGGCGTGAGGGCGGGGGTGCCGGATAGAAGGGAGAATCAACAACCAGGCGCCCTCGACCCCAACCCCCAAATCCCCATGGCAAAATTTTGCTTCTGAGAAGCAGAGGCTTTGAGTATGTGTGTGTTTAAAAAAAAGAAAGAAAGAATGACCTATCATGTGCCCCTTCTCCATTTCTCTGAGCAACCCTAAATGCCGAGAGTAGCGTGGGACAAAGGCGATCTGGCTGGGGTGAGACACCCTGGGTCTTGGGAGAAGGAGGGGGGAACTGGCACAGGCGGCCGTCCGCCACCCCCACTACCTCCCACCCCGAGCAGTTAGGGCTTGAGGGCCAGCTGGCCAACCAGGCGCCTTGGGGGCCAGACGCCACAGGGAGGGTGCGAAGGGGCAGCTGGGGCCCGCAGGCAAGGTGTCCAGAGCAGGGAGGGTGCCCTTGGCCTTGGTCCTCTTCCTCCTACCCCTCACCGTCCCGGCCCGTACCTCTTGCAGCAGGTCCGCCTGCTCGATAGCCTTCAGCACACTCTTCTTGGAGGTGTCCTGGACGTCACCCCCCATCAGAAACTCATCCAAGATGAAGTAGGCCTTCTCAAAGTTGAAGATGATGTCCAGCTCGCAAACCTGGGAGGAGGGGGGGGAGGCAGAGCTGAGTGTCAAGGTGCATCTCCACCCCACTTTTTTCTCATCACGGTTCCATGGCCTTCGTGACCACTCCTGCCCACCTTGGGTTCTTGCCCCAGGTCTATGTCCTCCCAACCCCTAGGCCTTAGTCCTTGGTTTGGCTTTTCCTTCTCCTTCTCTTGCCTCTTTCTCTGTGATCATGAGACATTAGTTGCTCTAGTCTACCCTTGACTCCTGTTGCCTTCCCCCCAGATCTGCGACACAGTTCCTACCAGAGGCTGGGCTAGCTTCCCTCCCTAGGCACAGTGACAGGGCAGGGAAGGAGGTTCTGGATCATGGGGTAAATGACTTCGGTTCCAAGCAGCACTGTGACACTAACCAGCTAACTCTACATGGCATTTAATTTCTCTGAGTCTCAGTTTTCTCATCTGAAAATGGAGATACCAACACCTACTCATAGGACGGAATGAGGAGCAATCAGGAGAACCTGAAAGCACTGTGTAAATTATTAAGTGGAATACAAATTATGGAGTTATTACTATTCCCCACCTAAGATCTGAGCTCACTGCCAGTGCCCAGACTATAGCCCAGATCAGTTAATTCAGAATCTCCAGGGGTGAGACATAGGCATCGCTATTTTTTAAAAAAACCTCTCCAGAAGATTCCAAAGCAAAGTCAAGGTCAGGAACCACTGATAAAAATCTGAACATGGCCTCTGTCCTTGTGTGAGAAGTTTGAGCTGAGCTCTAGATGGATTGACTAAGTGGCAGACTCTGGTCCCCACCCTCCTCCCCCGGGCTGATTAAGGGGCATGGCTAATAGGCTTAAGGCTTAAAGAGGGAGATTAACTACTGTTCTCACTGTTCCAACTTCCCCTCTCCTGAGTCTTCCAGGGCAGAGACCGGAAGGACCCCAGGGTTTGGTAAAAAGAGGGGATTGCTGCGTATAGCAATGGGTGGATGGGGAGACTTACGCTGCCGAAGTACTTGTCCAGGAGCTCCACGTACCGGTGGATCAGCTCCAGCGTGATAAGCTCATTGTCCTGGCCCTCGATGGCGCAGCAGAAGTAGAGGCTGGCATATCTGAGGACAGGGGCACGGGAGGCACGGCTGGGACAGCTCCTGGGGCTGCTCTGGGACCCAGGCATTTTGTGCCCAAACCTCTCATTTCCCCCCATTCCCAGTCTGTGCCCCTACTGGACACAGGCGGGGTGGCCCCAGGGTGTGCAAACAGTAACTCACTCTGCCTCTTAGTGCCTCTCACAGACGCAAGCTCTTTCCCTCTCGACCTCTGACCTGTTCAGTTTGACTCAGCAAAAACCTGAGCCACGAATTCACCTGCTCAGAGGAGGAACTGGGAAGGGCTGGTGCACGTGTGTGTGTGTGTGTGTGTGTGTGTGTGTGTGTGTGTGTGTGTGTGTTAGGAAAGTGGTGCAGGATCTATGACTGTTGAATGAGGCTGCCAGGGACGTGTGCAATAGGCAAGATGGGGCCTTCGGGACAGAGGTAGGTGCATGAAGTAGGTGTCAGGCTTGAGCAAAGCCAAAAGGGAACAAGAATTTCTTCAAGGTGAATTTGGAAAGTAAAGGCGGCTGGAGTTCATCGCTGCCCTCCGGATGTCCTTAGCTGTAAGCTCTTCCTGACCTAAGGGACTGCCTATTTCTTGGCCAGGTGAACCCATCCCAGAACCCAATCAAGCAGGATCCAGGCAGGTCTGAAAGTAGGTGGGGAGTCACCTCTTATAGACAACTTTGAGGTCCCTCCACTCCAGGAAGCTGCACATCTTGGGCTTGCGAGCCAGAACGACCTGCATGAGCTCCCGAACCATCTTCTTTCGCTCCTTGTCCGAGGTGGCCAGGTACCATTTTTGTAGCCGCAGCTTCCCCTGCCGGCTGAACAGCAGCATAAATCGCATCTGGGGGTGGGGGGGAGTCAGAGCCAAGGGTCAGAGATTTGGTTCTCTGAGCTGGTTTCCTCCAGAAATACACAGCCCCAAACCC